CACAAAGAAACATTCCAATTTCGAAATGACCTGAAATTTTTTCATTTTAGACAAAAACGATGATGTTATCACAACTATAATCGATTATCTTGACCATTGTTTTGTTTTTCGAATGAAATGAATGAAACATTCATCAACAACAAGGTGACATCATCGTTATTTCATTCATAATTATGGACGTAAGATGACGACGACGATGATGATTATAATGATGACCATAGCTAAATTGAAATGAAATGAAATGATAAAAAAGCAATCTTTCAAGATAGCGATTCACACCGGACAACCGACCAACCAACTAACCAAGCATCAGTCAAGATGGAAAAAAAGGGATGCATATGAATTGAATGTGAAACAAAATCATCATCATCGTAGTTGTCATTATCATCATCATTATAATCGTCAGAAGAAGAAGAAGAAAAAGAAAAAAACTAGTTAATGTCAATGTCCATGATTATGTTGATGGAAATAAAAATAAAAAAATTTAAATAACGAATACAACCTGTATACGAAAAAAAAGATGCGAAAAATCTTCTTAGTTGAATCAGTTCATTCAGTTTGATGATGGACAATTCTGTCATATGTCTAACTATAGCCAGAAAGAAAAAAGGGATCTTGGATATGCAAAGATGATGAGAATCTTTGCTTACCAGTTTTTCCTAAAACATCCATATTCAACTGTTTTCTCTTCATTATCAACTGTGGATTCAATTCTGAATTGTCACCATTCATCATCATCATCATTGTAAATTTGCATTGAAATTAAATAAATTGGAAATTTTTTGTTTTTCTTCAATGAAATAACGATAGTGAACGAAGATAAACGAAGGGGGGAAATGATGATAAATATATGGAGTGAACACATGTGAATATTCATTTCGAATGTACTGATGAAACAGCGAGAGAAAACATCATTTTAGCCCGAATAGATCAATGTGTGTGTATGCGTTGAACGACGACCACAATACGACATCCATGGGAACAAAATTTGAAAAAATAAGAAAAAGAAAATAGCATCTTCATGAGAAATCTTGGTTGCTTGAAATCTTTAATGGCCAGTAGAAGCAGGTTTTTTTTTTGTTTTTGTTCTTTCTTCTTTCTTGAATGTTTTTTAGCTCAATCATAATGATAATGATGATGATAAAGACCAAGTCACAAAAAACAGAAGAAGAAAAAAAAGATAAAATCTTATTCAGGTGACATTTTATCTATCTATCTTTTTCATTTTTTTTCGATAAGAATTTATTCAAAAATTTTCAAAATGGAGGTGTGTGTGACATTATTACACTATTGCACACACATACACAAACAGCAAGAGAAAGAGAAAAGGATTGAATATTGAAATTGCGATCAGGTAAAATGAAAAAAGAAAGAGAGTGACCAGAAAAATGAAAAATCAGCGGCACAATCATCATTATCATTATGATGATTTTATCCAAAAAATGGAATACATAGACTGATGTTATTCATTCATTCATTCATAATTATAATGATAACAAACAAACAAACAATGAGAAAAAAAGGTATACTAATTGTTTCAGGGTTTTTTGTTTTGTTTTTGGGTAATGATGATTGAAAATGATGATAACGTTGATGATGAACAATGAAGAATCTGAAATATATTTTTCGTTTGTCATATATGCTATGTGAAAATGAAAATTTTCATTCTCACACACACTGAAACATACGGATGTTTAAAATCATCATTGGATGCGGCAGAAGAAAAAAAAATTAGAAAAAATGAATGACACATTGTCCCGTATGTCAAGATTAGTGGAGAAAAAATATATGATGATGATGATAAACAGGTTAATTATATATGTTGTTATCGTTGGTTGGTTGTTTTATTCATTATCGTTATATGTTTGTATAAAAGGTAAGCTCTTGGTTAATGTAAAGCTAAATTTAATTGCCAAAAATGAATGTTATATGTGAGAAAATTTTTTTTATCCAACAACAACATAACTATTGTCGGTGATTAAACATACAGAATGAATGAATGATAATAATTTTTCAATTCATAATTTTTGAAAACAAAAAAAAAAGAGTTGAATTTAATTGAATCAGGTTTTTGTTGTTTAGTTTGCTTAGGTTGTTGTTGTTATTGATCAATATCCAATATCAAACAGTTCAATGTAAGACTCTCGTATATGATACATATCAAGATAAAGAAACAAGGGTAACAAAAATTTCGGATTTTTTTACTTGAAAAAAAAATTTCAAAATACCGATTTTTGTTTTACCGAGTTTAAATCGTGCATCATCATCATTCAAAGTTCAATTAAATGATGATAATGTAGATGATGATCATCACGATAAAGATATTTTAAGGAAAAAAAGGAATCAAACATCGAAATCTTGACAACAACACACATTTACACCATGTGAAACAGTATTTTTTTTTCTAAATAAATAAATAGGAAGATCGTGAAAATCAAATCCACATTTATTTTTATGATTCTCTGTCCTGACCTACACAACAACAACAATGTACAATAATAGAAACGAAACGAAACTAAACTAAATCTCTTTAACCCAAAAAAAATCAAAAAATCAAAAAATCAAAATCAAAGAAAAGCTTCTGGAAAAAAAAATTTTTTGTATGATTATTACCCAACGCACACACACACTAGCTACAGAGTTACTTGCACAGTGTGATAATGATCTTTCAATCCAGGTAGGATTTGATAATAACAACAACAACAACAACAAAAAATCATTCTGAATTCATCGCACAATCAGAAAAATAAACGAAAAAAAATTGTTGAACTTATTTCGGGTGATTCATCTAGTTTTTTGAATCCATTCTGGCTGGCTAGATTGAAATAATGATAATAACATTCACATCATTTTTTTCAGGTATTAAAAAAAAGACAATGACATTGCTTTTTGTTCAATGATAATCATCATCATCACAACAAAAAAAAAACTTGATCTTGAGCATCCAGAAAAAAAATTCGCCTGACAAATCTGGAAGCCTGAATGAGATCATCATCCTGATGGTGACAAAAAAACAAAATCTGGAGAAAAAAATCATTAACCTCACCATTCATGATAAACATAGACATTATCCCCGAGAAAAATAAATAACCAATGATGATGATGATGATCAATTTTGAATCGAAAAAAATGAATGAAATGAATTGATTCGTAGAAGAAGGCGAAAATTGCAACACACATCCCGTAATCATCATCATCAAAAAACTATTCACAAAAAATTTTATCAATCACTCTCTGTGTGTGCGTATTTCGGATGTTTGCATGAAATTTTTCTATTCCTTCAATTGAACCAAAATTCCATTGAATCAAACAAACAAAACAAACAAACAGAAACAGAAATAAGCAGAAAAAATTCGAACCAAAGCCAAGGCCCAAAGGAATTCAATGTAAATTTTTATTATTGCTATTATTATTACCATCAAAGCATCATCAATGGATACCAACTCGAATGGACCACAGGGCATATTGCATAGAGAAAAAAAAATGGTTTGGAAATATAAAAAAGATAAAATATTGTTGTTGTTGTTGACCATCTTTATGGATATTTTTTTTTTTTTTTATTGAAATAATGGCCATTATCCCCAATAAACAGTCATAAATAATGATTCGATTTTCTTTTCATTCGTTTTGGTAGTTTTGAATAGCCCAAATCGTTATAAGAAGATTTTTGTTTGAAAAAAAATCATCATTTTTTCATTTTTTCTTCATCTTCAATATTATGAATAACTTGTGAATTTTATTTCATTTTTTTCCGTTAGTTCCAAACAAAAAAAAAGGGGGAAAAACTATGGTCAAACAGAGTGTGTGTGTGTGTGTGTTTGGTTGATTCGACCGAGGAATCACTATGCCAAAAAAAAAATAAATGTGACAAAATTCCATATAGAAAATGTCAAATGGTTTCTGCATAAGTGGCCGGTGATTCTATTTTATTCATTTCAATTCAATTTCTATTTACAAATATTGAAATAGGCAATGGAAGAAAAAAAAAATCAAATAAAATTCTTCTTTCCACTATTTTTTTCCGATGACAGTTTTGACAATCATATATGATTACGGGTGCTCGCGCCCTTCATGTTATTGTTGTTNGAAAAAAAAATTTCTTCAATGATTCAATCTAGCATAAAATTTGCTTAGCTTGTCGATTATTATTTATTTACAATTGTCGTTGTGTTGGCAACCATGTCATTGCATCAACAGAACAGAACGCATCAATATTTACAATCAAATCAATTCAAATAAATTTTATTTATTTTTTAAAAAAACTTTCAATTCAAACAGTAGCCAAATAGAATTCTGGGTTTTTTTCAAATTAGGTATTTTGTCCGGAAAAAAAGTTTCCAACAACAAGAATCAATATGAGCAAATGTGACAAATGGTAGTGTCCAAATTCAAATTCAAATCAAACTAGATAGAATGATAAATGTGTCACACATACACAAATACACAAACAGATATAGAATATAATTATATATCCTTGACACGTGTCTACCCTATCTCCTAGAAAGATGACACACACACATACATGAACACTCAGTAACTTTTGACATTCGATAAGTAATTGAATCGGCAAAAATAACCGCAATAACGGGACAAAATTATCCAACAGTGAAAAGCATCAGCAGAAGCAGCAGCAATAACGATATATTGAATTATCATCATTAATCAGATCCTATTAATCCTTTTTTCGTATCTTTGCAAACTTGCTGAAATGAGAATTGACTGAATTGGATGGATAAAGGGGAGAACAACAGAAATCATCATAAATCATTATTTATTGTTGATGTTTAACAACATAAGCTTTAATCATCATAAAATAAAAAAAGACGAAGATTTATTTATGATCCGAAACGGTCAAATAGCAAATGAAAAATTTCAATTTGAAATTTCTCCTCTGTCCCATCAAATCACAGGAAATCAATTATGATAACCATATTTGGTGTGTGTGTGTGTGTGTGTTGGTGCTTGTGATAATCAATGATAAACAAATTTTGATAACATACCTTTAAATTGTGTGATGGTGGTCATCATGATAAAAATGATTGATAATAAACATAAATATAAAAAATGATT